TGACTTAGAATGCCCTATTTTACTGTCATGAGTGAATATTGTCAAAAAAAATACCACACTAAATAGTGACTAAACACGACCCCTTTTAATACATGTTAACCAGGAGTCACTCTCATTTATAATCGCGGCATCGTCTGATAAAATCAACATGCATCTACACTAAAGAGCGGTTATGCGGTTGTTTTAGCTATATTACTTTGTCTCATGCAGCGCACTGCATGCGTCTGAGTAACAAACAAAAAAAAAAGTGCATGTGATATTAACAGACAAACTACGCTCATACGGTATTGCGGTATTTTAAAAACTAATATCATAACAAAAATAAACACCGGTATTCGGTATGAACCGGTATACCGCCCAGCACTAATTTGAACCCAATCATAACGTATCTCTAACTTGACTTGTGAAATTAAAATGAAAACTCTTCTATTCTAGGAACGCTCTAGAAGGTAGAAAAAAATCTCACGAGTCAATCTCAGTAAAATATAATTTTAATGGTTAAAAATTCTTAGTAATATGCAAACATAAATGTAAAATAAAAATGGTATGATCAATAAGTAATTAAAACATGTTTTTACAAAGCAATTCTTAACTTTTTAAAATAAATTAAGCCCATGTTTTAAGTCAGTTTAATTCAATTTATATTGAAATTACCTATACAGCTAAGTTGACTACTTACAGTGGAGAAATTTCAACAGTGTTAGAGGTGCAACAACAAACCTTCTGAATGATAACCTAAAAAGCATAACAAAAATTTGCTTTTTTTTCTGGTAATGATTTCTGTACTGTCTAATAATTGGTGACCGTTACTCAAAAGACAACAAGAATAAACCTATAGGAAAAAGGAGAAATCTTTACATCACTTGAGTTTGAACAACATAGACTTATATACTTAGAGTAAAAAGGGGTAACATTGTGATAAATAATTTTGACCTTTTAGACTATACTGTATTAATATGTCAGCTGATCAATATGCTTTATAAAATAGAAAGAAGAGGAGCTCAATATCACACTTTATTAAACAAGTCGCTTTATTAAACATTTATAGTCAGTTATGAAAGAGTGGTAACATTTTGATAGCTAGCCTATAATGTTATACAAGAGCTAAAACGGAAACCATTCTTAGAAGTAGACTAACACATTAGCAGACAGCAGCAGCATTAATGTTTCCTTTCTTTTCTATAAGCATTTAGATGCTCGTGACAACGTCTAGCTTGTTTTCTTTAGTCTTAAGACATGAAACATGTTTTACAGCACCGCTCGTCTCCTCTGACACTGATCATTCGGCTTCAGCGTCTGATCTAACGTGCGCGCTCCCATATGAACATTTGCTGAACAGTGACCCCTGGTCACAGTTTTCGCTAGGTCACCGATTTCGACACAACACCGGTTACAATGCCTCCGCAGCAGGGCAACTTGTTGACTGTGAGGCGGCATAGTCGCGGGTCAAAACACCACTCTTCCATTCCGATCAAATCATCAAACAGGTTCTCCCCACTCAGTGGCGCACCCGCTGAGAAACCTGATCAAAGTGCTCTAGTTATTGGTGATTCTATTGTACGGAACGTGAAAATAGAGACACCAGCCACCATAGTCCAATGTTTACCGGGAGCCAGAGCGCCTGACATCTTGGCAAATTTAAAAGTGCTGGCTAATGCTAAACGTAAATTCAGTAAGATTCACGCCAGCACTAATGATGTTTGACTTCGCCAGTCGGAATATGTTATACAAGAGCTAAAACGGAAACCATTCTTAGAAGTAGACTAACACATTAGCAGACAGCAGCAGCAGCATTAATGTTTCCTTTCTTTTCTATAAGCATTTAGATGCTCGTGACAACGTCTAGCTTGTTTTCTTTAGTCTTAAGACATGAAACATGTTTTACAGCACCGCTCGTCTCCTCTGACGCTGATCATTCGGCTTCAGCATCAGATCTAACGTGCGCGCTCCCGCACGAGCATTTGCTGAACAGCGACCCCTGGTCAGAGTTTTCGCTAGGTCACCGATTTCGGCACAATTAAATTGTGGAATTAAATTCTAAAATAAAGACAGACTGTTTGAACTGGTGATTTCTTTTTTCGCTTCTGTGGATGTATTTCATAATTTGATCTGAGATGAAGCAAATACATTTGTGTGGGAATTTCTCACATTATAAAAGTTAAACTTGCGGGAATGGTTTAAATTATGCGCAATCCCGCGCCGAAATTCAAGCCCTGAGATACAATTAGTTTTGGGTGAATTTAACAGGCATTCGTGGTCTCATGAATCTATTATTTGTTCCTGGTCATATCGTTTTGGCTGAGCACAAAGTTATGTTTGTCAGGTGCATGGATGCAATATGGACCGATTGCCAATGAGAGGACTGTAAAGAGTGCCTGTCACTTTCTTGACGCACAGACAGGCAAAGTCAATTTGAAATGGCAAGTGTTTGGTCTAAGACGCTTACCTGATGGCAGGCAGCTTTGACAAGCAGCTCTATTTATAGCCAATGTATTGGGTCTCTCGCCAACAACCAAAAAAAGCGAATGCACTTTTTAGTAGTAGAGATCAACTACACTACTATATTTATCATTCATCCCATGCATGAGAGAGTGGCTGCCAGTTATTTGGAAGTACAACTGGCTTGGGGCAAGACTTCTGTCCCATGATAGCCAATTTATTTCAAGATGACTAGCTGTCCTGGAACATATATCCAAAGTGCGGCACACAGGGCTTCACCTTGCTACAAAAAACAGAGAGTTATGCCGAGTTCACACTGCACGATTTTAGCACGATTTTTCACTCGCCGACAGGTTTTGCGACGCCCGCAAAATATTTGGCATGCTTAATATCTGGAGCTGTCAGCGACTCACAATCACGCGGTGTGCAATGATTTCTGACTGAAAACTACATCGGCGATGACCTACAGCCAATGAGAGACCAAGATACAGGGCAGATGGAAGTTCGGGGAGGAGTTATAGACCAGAATATCAGTATTTTAATAGATATATGAACAATTATATCGGTAATAAAAATAACATGCTGCCTGCTAGTTGCAACAGTAGTGATCAACTGATATTGCTTTTTTATGACCAATGCAATACAGATTCTTTTTTAAATGTTTCATAATGTGTATGCAAAAAAGTTTTAGTTTTGCTTTTTGATACAGTAATAACTAAGTGATCATTACATCACAACAATAAAAACATATGAATTAAGAATTTTGTATCAGAAAGTTGTTTTATGAAAGAGTCTTTAATCAGATTTTTAGGCCGTTGAATTGTAAACTAATTGCTGTATCACTTAAAATAACACTGCGCTGTTATTTAAAAAGTTGAGTAATTAATTATACAAACAAAACAAGTAAGCAAAAGTAGGTTTTGGACATAATTAAAATTTGCAGAAAAACGAGACCTCCTAGACCCAAAATCAGACTCGACCATTTAAAATTTGCCTTGACCCAAGGATTCCAAAAATGTAACATTTTGAAGTCTACAATAAGCGGTTTAGGAGTTATTGGCACTTTTGCGTTTTTGATCGCTGTAGCGCCCCCTATTGGCCGATTGGGCTGAGACTTTGATAGGTTCTCCCCAAATTGAGCTCTATCATTTGGCCAAGTTTCAAGTCTCTAGGCCTTATGGTTTGGTCTGCACGATCAGTTTTAGGGGAGAAGAATAATAATAAAAAAAATAAAAATCCTAACGATTTCAATAGGGTTTCAGCACCTTACGGTTTGGTCTGCACGATCAGTTTTAGGGGAGAAGAATAATAATAAAAAAAATAAAAATCCTAACGATTTCAATAGGGTTTCAGCACTGCGTGCTTGAACCCCTAATAAATAATCAATTTACACTACAAAGAAGAAATATCGGTTGAGTTTATAAAATATTAACGTCTATCTCTACCAACCATATGACTGGGCAGCAATATGACATTGAAATGGATCTGAAATAATGAAGTGGACTGAGGGAATTCATCCTCACAAAAATTTAAAAAATGAGAAGAACCTTGTGTACTCATGAGAGGGAAAAGAAAACTAGGTCAGAAATGCCTGCGGTGATGACAAGTCAATAAGATCAACAGCAAGCTGTCAAACACTTTCACACTTTGACGCTTAACATAGACTTCAACTGGAATGCTTACAATTTTTTTCCATTGACACTATATTAAAAAACGCCTCCACTAATGTCCATCATTATTTGACCTCTACCAGTTCAATCCTGTTATTTAAAAGGTGTGCTTACCCCGAAATTACAAGTCCATCATCATTTACTCATCCTCACGTTTTTCCAAACTTGTATGACTTTCTGTCTTCCTCAAAACACAAAATGAGATGTTAGGGAAGATGACAGCATCAGTGAGTCACCATTCACTTTCTTTGTGTTGGGAAAAGCATGAACTCAAAGTGATTGGTGACTAAGGTTATCATCCTGCCTAACATCTCTTTTTGTGTTTTTAGGAAGACAGAAACTCATACGGATTTGCAAAAACATGTGGGTGAGTAAAGGATGACAGAATGTTTCATTTGGTGAACTGTTCCTTTAATTCGAAGCTGCTTTGTTTACAACCCAAACAAAAACAGCATCTTCTATTGTCGTGAATCTCGGACAGAACTCTTTACGGGCATGAAAACTTGGGAAAATACAAAACAAGCATGAAAACTCCAAACAAAAGCCCCATCAGTGGACACACTCACCTCTCAGACACTGACACAAACAAGTCTTAAAGTGACTAATACACAGGGATTAGACCATGTACTTTCTTTCTTCAGGTTCATAACGTTCTTCAGAAGCTTTTAGACGCGTCTATGATAATATACCGATCTGTTAAATCGTTTAAAATCAAATTCCCGTTAAGAAAAAAGCTGGAAAACAAATGACGGACCGTTCCAGGCAGCATAGTAACGGGAGCTAGTCAGCTAGCAATACTGACACAAACAACTTCATTAGCGCAGAAATACAGTCAGAAACACCCTAAAATATACTCCAACGACTACATGGGGGTGTCGGGTTTCTGCTCACCTGTCTGCGTAAGCGGCGAGCGGTTGTCCTTCAAGCGTGTGTTTTTGTCGGAGCGGCGCTGCGGATCCAGTGGACTGACTGACTGACTCGATCTGGCTGGATTTTCTGGATATCGCTGCGTTTCAATGTGACGCCCCTCGCGTGAGGGCAGAGTGGCCAATCAGAATGCGCGGATAGATCACGTGACCGAGTTTCAGGATGACTGGTTTGACGGGATTTGTAGTCCGCGGGTGACTTGTTTGTTTGTGGGTTTCATGTTTTCTTTCAGCATCACTGTATATTTATATATAAAATTTTATTTTATGTTTAAATATTACCTATTTTAATAATAACAACTTCATTTATTCGTTTAGAAAAAATATTAGTCACAACCATTAGGATATTGTCATATAAGGATGTAACCAAATATTGATAAGATTGAGAGGGAGACAAATTTAGGCAAAGTTTACAAATCTATCTTTAAACAACCCATATTGATTGACTGCTACTGTGAATATTGAGGAATACTCTCGAGTCCTGCAGTGACATCCCTGCCTATCAGCTATTCAGATATGATATCAGTGCTAACAGCAGTGCAATGTTGGAAAGTAGCCTGCTTGATTTACTAATGATGTAATCGATGACAAAGGTTATAGAGAAAATGTACTATGATCTTTATTGAGAAATTATACCTAGGCTTTGACCATTATCACTAATCAAGACTTAAGTCTGTATGTAGGTGAGAATATAGGTTACTACAGTACACCACATACACTTTTTTATGACGACAATCAAAGTGTGATTTAATGATGTCTAATAAACAAAGTTTTAGGATTTAAAAATATAAAATATGGACACAGAAATATGTGTAAGAATTCAAGAAAATATGATATGATAATATAATTTGTAATATGAAATATGTATTAAAGCAAAAAAAAAAAAAAAGGAAAAATAAATAAATGCAGAAAAATGCTAAATGTAAGCGCTAGTTTCAATAGTGGTCTCGGGCTGTATGTGGTTATATGTTTCCTGTGGTGTTTTGGCCTATATGAGCTTTCTAGAGAATTTCCAGTCTAAACCAGCTCAGGTCATGGTTTATCATTTGACCATACAAACCCAATGAGAAACTAAGTAAGTGGAACATAAGCCTCTGTGTTCCGGCCCAACATTAAATGAAGCTGATAACCATCCAAATGAAAAAAAAAACTCACCTATTTGCAAAACAGATGTTAGAGGAGGGCATACAGACAGATCTGCACCTGTCAATACTTTCTGTGCATGGTATTGAGCCAGAGTCACTGGAAACTCTCCCAACCTGCATGCGGTTCACAAAGTACATGCAGTTCGTGCCAGTGTCTACTAATTGCATAACAAAACCAGTGAGCTGATCTACTAATAATGTGGTGGGAACTGCAGACAAACGGCAGTATCGAAACTAGTCCGGACCAGTGAAAAAGAAGGTGTGAACCAAGGAACTGGAATTTGAATTGAGATGTTGGTGTTTGGTTAGGTTTAAAGAAAAGCAAGTGCCGCCCCACCCTGCGACTTCTCCATAAATCACGACTTGAGCAACACAGACCTTTCAGGTTAGATGCCATATTGAAAACGAGGCACTGATGGATAGACTTAAGAGTCTTTAGAAAAGGCACACACTGTATAAGTGTCCCCTAGATCACATAATATTCACAACTCACAACTTTTAAAACTGACGTTTCATCAGCTAAATAATCGGTATGTTGTTAAATGGCAGTACAATCCATTAAACGCATGCACTTCTATCCTTCACAGCCTAATTTTTATTCCTGTCAAAAATTAAATATGGCTCTACCCTAACTAACTGATCACATGATCACTGCCTGTATGAAAAATATTGAGTGTAAGTGTAAAGGTTACATTATATTTAGTTTACAACACACAGATAATGTATGATACCAAAAATGCTTGACCATATCAGCAGAATAGATAATAAGAGCAGCATTTTAATGACTTAAGCACATATAACTTTATGCAATCTATAACCCTGGTCATAAATGTGATGAAGTCATTCCACAAATCAAACAGAACAAACACAGAGAGTTAAACAGAAGTAAAGCAGCAGAGCAGGTGATAATAATCACTATTCATATTTTTAATATTACTGGTTTGAATGAGGGGGAATACACACAACAAGCATATGATCACAGGGCAGCAAACAAACTGTGGAGTGACATGTGAGAGAGACCGTAAGTGTTAATGGCATATATGACTGACTGACTGTTATTTACAAGTGTAGTTTTCCTCCAAAACACTCATGAATGAGCAAAAGATCTTATTGTCCTGTTCTGTGGCCTGACAGTGGGAGAGCTCGGCTATGATCGCCCGATCCATCCAGCGGCCAGTAATATCTTCTCTGCTAGCATATAAGTCCCCAGAAAAAAGCTTCTTTATCAAAAAATAATAATCAGAACAATACATATGATGTATAAAATGAGAAGCAATTAATAAAATATAATCTGAACCACTAGTATTTGGTTACAATAATAGTTTTTGCAGTCCTTATCATGTAGCCTTGATTTTTATTTTTTTCCTATTTTCATTTACCAGACACACATTCATTACCGTGAGGCTTTGAACCGTTTCATCCAGCAATGACAAAGACAGTGACAGAACAAACACAATATTCTCTGCTCCAGATTAGATGTAATTCCAAGATATGATGTATGGAAGCCCCTGAAATGCATCAAAGGTTCATAACAGACTTTTGAAAGCCTATATGAAGGATACAAATCGAATGATTTTGGAAGAATAAAGGGAGTTTTGTGTGTGCGTGTCGCTCCAATTCAGGTAAAAACGTTCCTGGTTTCATCTTTCACACGTCTCTACAGGTTTCTTAGCAGAAATGCTTGTGTGACGGGTAACAGGCAGCATTCTGTTCTTGTCATAGGATCTTTATGACATCATGGAACACAATGTCCGATAATTCCACATTTCTCTGACTCAAGGTTCTTAAGAGCTCTGATATCGGCAAGGTGGTGTGTGTTTGTGGAGGTGAATCAGCGGCGGGCCAAAGGTCTGGAAAAGGTGATGGGCGACGAGCCGTTGTTCTCCGTCCTCTTTTTGCATCTCTACCATTTCTAGAGTCTCTAAAGAGCTTAGGCTCTTCTTTTTAGAACAAGCAAACAGTTCGTGCCTCTCTGAATTCAAACATCGAGAGAACAACAGCTTGAGCCAAGAAACATCACACCGGTGCCTCCTTTTCATCAATGACGTCCAACTTTTGATTCTTGAGTCAGAAAAGGTCATTAAATTACTATCAACGGCACACGTACACTTATTTATATACTTTAATTTGTTGCTATTTAATATATCATTTTACATTTAATTATCTCTAAGTTCCCCCTGTGGGTCCGTTAAAGGTCTCGTTCCTCTCCCGCTAATTGCTCAGTGCCTCTCCAGGGCGTCTGTCCCGTCCCTAGGCTGCTACTTGCACACAAACTGGTCTACGAGCGACGTGCAGCGCTTGCACTTGACGTAGCAGCACCAGTGGAACTTGCAGTGGCAGCGCTCGTGTTTGTAGGTCTTGAACTGGTCGTAACCACGACCGCAGCACATGAGCTCGCAGCCGTCCATGCCCTCCGAGGTCTTGTTGCACAGGCGGTCCTGGGTGCCCAGAGAGCCGGTGGTCTCGTTACGCAGGCAGTAGTCCGGGCTGGGGTCGATGTAGACCAGGTCCTCGCTCGTCGGGGGGTTAAAGCGGTTGTTGACCAGCTCCAGCTTGCCTCGTCGGCTGATGCGCATGGCGGCGGCGCTGTCGTACTTCTCTTTCAGGAACTCTCCCACACGGCGGAAGTCGGCCAGCTGGAGCCAACAGGTTTTCAGGCTGCATGAGCCGGAGACTCCGTGACACTTGCATGCGACGTTGGCCAGATTGTACACTGCCTGTGAGTGGAGAAAGAATTAGAAGTGTTGTGAGAATATTTCAAGACAATGTTACTTATAATTATAGAAGTATAAAAAATGAGTTTTTCCAGCTTGAATACCAAAAATGTCCATGCTTACTTTCCACTGGTGACATCTAATATTGTTTTAGTTATACAAATAAGCACTAAAGAAATATTGCCTGAATCATGCCTTTTATCATGTCAACTTTTCATCTGGTAAAATGATTCAGCTGGCTAATATTGTCTAAATTGTAAGAACAATAGTTTGGAAGTATCAGCAGAAAAGGGCTGAAAATGATAAACTAATAAATAATATTTTGCCACGTATGCCATCATTTTTCACCAAAAAGAGTTAAAGTGTATGAATTTATGTCTGTCTTGCAGTTTCCTGTATAATTATAAAAAAAAGTTTTAATTTTCAGCTATTATTGCAACTTTTCTTTGCAAAGAAAACTTAAACATGTATATGAAAATATGGTAAAGATGTGTGAAATATGAAAGATTATAATAAATACTATTTTTGTAAACATTTTAAAATAAATATTAAATAATAAAAGTATAAATGTAAACATATATTTACATTTGGAAATTTAAATGAATATTAAGTCGATCCGTCAAAAATAAATAAATAAATAATATTTTGAACATTTGTTTTGAAATTTTTATTTTCATTTGATTTATTTTAATAAAATAAACAATAAATGTAAAATTACTATTTAAAAATCTAAATATGAAATCAATAAAATTATATACAATAATGAATATAATAGTAATAAATATATAATAATTAAAAATTATGTATATATTTGTGTTGGGGACAATGAAACTGACAAGTGCTTCTAACGTGATTTATAGAGTTGCGTTATTACTTTTTTTTATATGTGGCCCTGGACTACAAAACCAGTCATAAGTAGCACAGATATATTTGCAGAAATAGCCAACAATACACTGTATGGGTCAAAATTATCGATTTTTCTTTTATGCCAAAAATCATTAGGGTATTAAGTAAAGATCATGTTCCATGAAGATATTTTGTAAATTTCCTACCATAAATATATCAAAACTTAATTTTTGATTACTAATATGCATTGCTAATGACTTAATTTGGACAACTTTAAAGACGATTTTCTCAATTTTTAGATTTTTTTGCACCCTCAGATTCCAGATTTTCACATAGTTGTATCTCGGCCAGATATTGTCCTATCCTAACAAACAATACATCAATGGAAAGCTTATTTATTTCGCTTTCATGTGATGTATAAATCTCAATTTACAAAAATTGACCCTTACGACTGGTTTTGTGGCCCAGGGTCACAGATAGGAAGCAACCATCTGGAATATCCTAGCAACCATATATCTTTACTGCTATTCTTAGCAACCACAATTGATTTACTTATTTATTTTATTGAATTAATAAATTTTCTTTAGGGAATACAACAATAGTACCATCAACAGCTGCAAAACAGACGTTGATGGAACAACGGCGCCCTCAAGAGGCCAAATGTGTTCAGTGCACCAGTCCGTTTGAACCTGGCGGGGCCTCCAGAGGCCTTTGAGTTTACGGTCCCTTTACAAACAGAAAGCCGCAGTGAGAGCGTTTGGAGAACAATGGGATGAATAGTCATTCAGCTCTAGAACACACAGACAGTCCCGAGACCACTGACAGCAGACTTCCTGCTGATTAAATTCAATGAAACCCCCAGCTGAATCAATAAAGAAGCGCTCGACATATTGTCATACTAAACTAACGGCTGTTCTTCCCTTTCCTTTTGAATTATTTAACATGTAACATTAATAGACTATTACTTTTCATTAACTACCCACAACGGGCCGTACCAAGTGCGTTGCGTCTCACCGACAAACACAAAAACAAGCTAATGAGTACAACGCCTGGGCTCAATCAAGGTTGGGTGGCCAGCGTGGGTATTTCCTGCCCTGGTTTGTGACGTGTCTTGTTTGCTGTGTCTTTTGTGTCTGTTTAGTGTCCTGAACGAGGGAACATTAAAGGCATTTCTCTCTCTGTTTCTCTGTCATTTAAGCGCAGGCAGTGCTCCTCCCTTTAACACCTCACGTGAGAACATTTAACGGTCGTCTTTGAGGATGTGCTGCCACGGCTCTTCAACCCCCCTCCGGTGGCAGCTGTTTAAGCCCCCTGCATTTTACCTGCTCGCACACAGACATTAAGGGGAGTTCCAACACCTTTCAAGTTTCTGTCATCACCAGCCCTACCTGAATACCTGTCTGCAATCCAGAAACAACACGCACACACACACTTTCCCACACACATCACGCAAGCCATTCTGGGCTATTTACAATCTTGCGTGTCAAGCGGCAGTTCTGCTACCTCATCCAAATGATCTCACACAAAAGGGTTTTTGAGCATTTCTATGCAACATGTGCGCCCAACTGAAACTGTGTTCACATAAAGGCCGCCGTTTCACTCTTTTATTCGTCCTCACTTTCATCTATCTCCTTTTCGCGCCCCTCCTTTTCTCTCTTTTTGGCCCAAGTGACCAAGGTGTGATGGATAGACAGGCTCATCGGTGCGTGGAAGGGACATGCATGCGGTGCTGCGCACAATGGAGTATGCTCAGACGGGGTCAGGGTCGGCTGCTGGGCGGGGTTAGGGCGGAGACAGCAAACAACCATCCCTGGAGGTGTAGAGATAAGAGACACGGGACGGGAAAGAGAATCTAAAGTAAACAAATACAAGTCTCTCTGAGCTATGCTAAGAAAATGTAGCAGTTTTCAAGGCCCCAACTATGTATCTGTAGTAATGAGACGTATTTAAAAAGATCTATCTATATATATATATATATATATTTTTTTTTTTTTACGTAAGGTTAATTCCGCTACACATTGGGGACTAAATCTGGCAAAACAATACTTTGAGGACATCATCAAAGGTAAAAATGATTCATTTAAGCAAATCATTTTTTTAAAACCTAAAAGCATTAAAAAATTGCAAGTAAATCTGTTTCATTTTTAGGTACAATGTAAAAAAAATAAAATAATTAAGATTCATTTTTCTCCATTTTTATATTACATTCTTCATTTTATTTTTTTATTCTGTTTTCCAATTTAGAAAATAATATATATAATATTTTTTTTTTTTTACGTAAGGTTAATTCAGCTACACATTGGGGACTAAATCTGGCAAAACAATACTTTGAGGACATCATCAAAGGTAAAAATGATTCATTTAAGCAAATCATTTTTTTAAAACCTAAAAGCATTAAAAAATTGCAAGTAAATCTGTTTCATTTTTAGGTACAATGTAAAAAAAATAAAATAATTAAGATTCATTTTTCTCCATTTTTATATTACATTCTTCATTTTATTTTTTTATTCTGTTTTCCAATTTAGAAAATATACGAAATACAAAAATATATATATCCCAAATGAGGAAAGTATACATGCATACATACATATGCAATTTGTGAACAAACCAGAGAGGGGATGTTTAAAAAAAAAAAAAAACAATCTTTTTTTTCCCCTCTTGTAAATGTATTACAAATCACTGTGGAGCTATAAATATATAGGTTATTTTTGGCAGCTGTTACAGAAACATTTTACAATAAATATTCTGATTTGACCTTGAGATCAGACAGATTCAATATTTGACCACTATTAATGATAATACTTGGTTACAGTGACACTAACAGTACTTATTTTTGCCCGGAATTATAAATCAATCGGGAGTTGATGATATTTTGAACAGAATAACGTGACACAAACCTGTACATACTCAATCGCGTTTGCTTCCATTTATTTTTGATCAGTGTTTCGCTACACAACATACAAACTTTTACTCCAAAAGTGCGCACATTATGTATTCACATGTTTACCTCATATTTCTTTAAATAGAATAGAATCAGAATTTCTTAATGACTCTCAGAAAGACGATTCTCTGTCGATCCATCAGTTAATATTGCGTGATCATAATTCCCACATTACGGTGATGGTAAACTTCTTACATTTTATTAAACCTTTCATTTTATTTTAGTCAAGGAAACTAAAAAGCTAGGAAACAATTTTCAATCAGTAAACTTTCAACTGCTAGTAAATTTCACAAATAATTACAGCAAGTAACAAAGAATTCAACAAGATTTTTTAAATAGAAAGACTGGAATACTATTTTCTATTATTATTTTCTTGTAAAACATACTCTATTTGTTATATATTATTCATACTATGTAGCTGGTGTTTGATGCTGCTAGTTTTATAAGAGCATAAGAAGCATGATTCAATCACTTTTGACTAGCTGCGTAACAAAAAACAAAAAAAAGAGAAGTATATGGTTCGTCCTCATTTGCATGCAAAGTAAACATGCGTGTCTGTGAATACAAAAGCATGCAAACATTAGTAATGCAGATAAATTCACTGAATGAGTGAGACCGAAAGCCTTACCAGTATATTAAAATGCATTACGCCTACGTGTGTGTGAGTGCGTAATAAAGTGCTTTAGATTAAGGTGTGTGTGTGTTAGTCTCCGCTGCAGTTGATTTAGAATGAAAGACACACAGAAGCAGGTGATCTTTATAAAGGGTGTAGGCCTCCTCCTCTCTGTACAGTCTGGGTCACGAGCCTTTGTGACCCACAGGGCCGGAACCACACGCACAATCTTTCACTACACCCTTACATCCCCCCGCCCATCCCGACTCCACACCGAGGGGCATCCGATACGCTTCTGTCACCTCCACAAAAGCCCACCAAGACTAAGCCTTTCCAAGCAAGACAAATCTCCGGCAAACAGGTCCCGCAGAAAGGGAACGCCAGGGAGGAGGGAGTCTCGGAGGTCACACCACACCTTCAAATCCACCTCCACCAAAAAAAGCAGGTGCCAATAACTCAAAAAAGAACAAAAAGGATTCAATTGAGATATAATCTCACCCTCGTGCACGTACAGAACCCATCCAGACCTTGACCTCCTCAGGAGAAGAGCCAGGGGATCTCAGATGTGCCATAACTCCAGAAAAGAGGCCCTCTCTTCTGTAAACACCTTAAATACACTCATCTTCTCTAAGACAAACATACGCGGCGGAGCTCTGTGCACGGCAAGCACCCACATCGGCAGGCAAATTGACTTTTTATGAGGCAGCTTCGTTTTAAAAGCACTCAAATAACTGAGGGGAAAGAGGATGGGATCGGGGTGTGGTATGACAAAGCGTGGGACTCGCAAAGGGACGGAGGAACGCATTCCAGCTTGATGGCGTGTTTTGGCAGGATGTGGTGACATTCTGCAGTGCGTTCTCCGAGAGGGTTTTATGCCCACCGGAACGTGGCAGGGGGGCCACAGTTTGTTGGAGCCAGACACACACACACTCACATACTTGGAAATGCTCCAATAATTCCTCCACCGTATAGCTGTTCTATAAAACAGCGAGAAGTCGTTCAACAAGAAAATGTGCAGTGTCAGAGCATTCCTGACTAAACATATTTACCACACATCACCTTATAAAAAAAAACACAAAAAACTATTTGTTCTGGCATCGACTACTCCATTAAATTACCCAAAGGAAGATTAGATCTGAGCTACATGCTGATTGAGAGAAACATGGGACGCTTCATCCCTGGTGGCGCTTTGACTTCCTGACCCCCAGCAGACTCCAAGGGCGCTAGCCTTTGCATGGGCGCCATTTGGTCATTTCCATTAAATTAGCTCTCTCACTAGTCTATAATCTAAATGCAGAGATGCCACAGACTACAGTTATTTTTATATAAACCCAAAGTTAAAGTCTTGATGACTGACTAATCATCCAACAACCGACTAATCAGGTAAACAAGCTTATTTCCAGATGTGTGCATGCTGCTAGACAGCCATTTTAATTTTACAACAGACGTTTTTTTCCACAGCAACTTTTATCAGTTAATGCATTCCCTGAGAAACAAACCCACAACCTTGATGTTGCAAGTGCCATGCACTAGCTATAGGAATTCTGTGTTTTGAAATTCATCCACTTTAAAGCACACGTCTTTGGCCACTGCATAATTTTTCTCACTGTCTTTAAGTGTCCTTTCACAAGGATTATGTTTTTAGGTATATTCCATTCTGTCTTATTATAAAGAGTACACACATCCAGTCAGGTGAGTCCAAACTAGCATAATGGTGTGGTCACATTACCAAAATGTTGCAGGCCAAAAAGTTCTTGTCTGTTATCAATAGTGTTGCGACGTATGAAGCACAGCTCAGTCACTTAACCAAGCAGCATTATGTTAGAAATTTAAGAGAACTTGAAAACATCGAGAAATATGCATGAGGAAAACTCCCAATCGTGTGGCTTCCTATTAAACCAACTGGTTTTTGTCTGCAAAAACTCACAAAACAACAGCAAATGTGACCGCATCTTAACTAAAAATGGACTTTGAACTGACTAGTTGTTCAGGCAACTCACTGACTAGTCAATAAAAAAAAAATAGATGTTAATGCACATCCCTAAAAGTTAAATATAACTACTATAGACCACACACTAACCCCACCCCTTAAAAATTATGAATCATTTTACCTTTGAGAACATCTGATTTTGTCAGACATAACTTCTAAAGACAATTGTGGTCCCAGAGTATAGCTAAGTAAACACATTCACTCAACAACAGAGGGAGAATGAAGTAACTGTGTTTGTTACTGTGTTTGTGGTGATCTGCATGAGACATTAGGGCTGCCTTTGGTTTATTCACAAACATATCTAAAGCTGTGTTTATCCATTCAAGTGTACATCTGGGCTCTTATTTCTCAATATCATAATAGAGGTTGCAACAGTTGTGAATCATAAAGAAACACACCTTAACCAAACCAGTGCACTGTAGACTCTTGCACAAAATGAAATTAGGTGGATCATAGTGGACTTAACGCCCACAGAATGGGTCAAGATACTGTGGAGACGCTTGCTATTATCCAATAATTTCCATCTATCAATAGATCATTAACTGATGTGTGTGTTCATTTCCTCACCATTCTCCCGGCTTCATTGTTCTGTACGTTCATAAGCGTGCGTGCATGTTCGACAGATCCACGTGGGTAGTTTTTCTCACGCTCGCGGGCGTCCACAAACTCCCGAGCGAAACGGTAGCCGTAGTTGACGTTGTCCCCGCAGCCGCCCCATAGCCAGTCTCTCGGGAGGTCTCTGGGACGAGCCGCTCGGCTGCAGCCACAGGTGGAAAGCTCACCCTCACGGCACGCCCGACTCACCGCATTCACGACACCCGCTGCGCTGATGGCATAAGTAAAAGCTGTTTCTCTGCTGCCTGCAGAAGACACACACACACACACACATAATTAGAACACAGACGACATTCCACCGGCTGCAAATCACTTTGTTAAATCATCCACAACTCTTCAGTACACTATTTTTCTTGATTATTCACTTAGGAAGTAAGGCAAAGAGTACAACAACTCATTTCCAGAACCCCACAGATGGTAACAATCTTTCTTGTAAGCCCTGCAGTGAGAGATAAGATTATCAGAAACATGTGCATGTACATAGACAGCACTGATTCATTGTTCCATTGTTGTATATATATCTCAATGGATATATATTGAAACGCAAGCGAAAAGGGACAGGTTTTCCAGTGTTGGTACACTTGATATGAGGCATACGATAACCTGCAAAGCTTTCCTGCCAAAGAGGCGCTAGGTTTATAAAATTTGTGCTCTTTTTCGCATCTGTTGTGCATGTGTTACCTGATTTTTTCCCCATCTAATAAGCCATCTGGAATGCAGATTTCACATACCTCAACAGCACAGGCAATACAGTTAATAGCGTTTAACGTTTAAAAGCTGTTTAAACATGTTAAAAAGTGCTGGTACAACCATATTTAGAGATAAGCACTTTGTATCAATGCTCAGCGACACAGTAATTATGAGAGGAAATTTGTCAAACAAAATGTTTTTTAAACTCCAGGCCTTGAGAATTCCTTTTTAATGATCCGGCCTTCCTCAATGCATTAATGAAAGTGAACTTGCCCCTGACCAGACGGACCACAAGAAACTGTTTTGTGTATTAAAAAAGAACAAAAATGTATGACAGGAGCAGAAGGCTTATAATGTTAATGTTTCACCCCAAGCTTGTCAATTTTACATTAATTTACTTGATTTTATGGTTTTTCAGCTCTACTTTCAGTATGTCAAAATATAGATCAAACTACTTAGCCTACTGTAGAGCAAATTTTGGATAGATAGATCGATACATTTTTAACTAATAAAGAGGAAAGTATTGGACTTTTAGATTATTTTTAGGGCTACATTTTAGAGTAACGTTTAGATAGATAGATAGATAGATAGAACGCACTATACAGAAAGAGGAAAGTATTTTAAAATTGTATCAAAATTCGTTGCCGGTTTCACAGTATCAAACACACAAAGCGGCGCGTGTAAACGGGTGTGTACCTGCATTCCAGAGATGCGCCTATTGAATTCGGAGGGCCACTTTTATTGGCCTTTGGTGCCCAGACTTCAAATAGAGTCCCGGATATCCCGACTCTGTGTCATCGTGTCATTGCATTTCAAAAGCGACGCTGGACAATGGCCCGACTAACACCTCAATATAAACCTCGCGATTGACTGCAAATAAGTCCCGTGCTATTTGGGGGGGCATGTCGCGTCTTACACCTTGTTTCACTGATGAGCGGAACTAACACTCAATTGCGGCAACGAGCGCTGTCTTCTGTGAGAGATCAACACGCAAACGAGCATGCATTCGATTGACGCTGCTTACAGGCTACATGAAGGATTGACAATCTGGAGAAACTTTATTCATTTAAATATGCTGTATAAAAGATCTGCACGAATGCAAACATGCATGCATAAACTAATATAGACCATCCATTATTTTTAAATAACAAACAATGTTTTATGAAAATCACCAAACTGATGTCAAGAGCGCAGCGCGTAAAGTCTCACGGGGAGCAGTTCAATGCATGCTGAGCGAGCACCATTTACACTTTACATGTAGGCTACATATAACTAAACAAAACTATACCTTTACCAAAAACGTTTATTAAAGCATGCGCTTATATGCGTTATTTGTTTTTTAATGCGTTTTTAAAATTGCCCAGTTGCTCAATAAAAAGTTGGCAAACAAAGTACCATAATTTCATATATTTTTGAAGATAATACAAGAACAAATGGATATTTATATTCCCCGTCTCATTTAAAATAGTCTCTCAATTTGAAATAGTCTCTATAAAACTTGACCACTTTTGTTTACATGCATTGTGATCATGATTCATATGACAGACACTAAAATAGAACATAAATAGACAAAAAAAATAATAGACCCTTAAATAATATATCTACAAAATATGGCAGATATACATACATTTTACATGTTTTATGTATTCTTTTTATGAAGCTATGATAAAGATATCATCTTTCAGAAGGGCAAACTAGAATTAAACAGCTAGTCATGTGACTATTTACTTAAGAACTTTCATTAATAGTTGACAATTCTGAACAAAATACATGAACTATTTGTAGACCCTTCTAATTCAAAAGTACACTATGGTCTGAAATGTCAAAGTAGGCATGCATTCAAAAGCTGCATGCAATTAATCAATTTAGATACTTGTTTTGAGTGCATTGTAAGCATCATCACATTGACTCACCTATCTGCATGACGCGGCCGAACACAGATGTGTTGTCCACCGTGCTACAGTTCCATCGCCTTTGCCTGAACTGATACTGACACTCCTTGATGCCCGTCTTTGCCCCCTCTCCGATATAAACCATATGGTCCTGATAGAGCTGGCAGAGCTTCCTCTGACCCTGAGACAGGCCCGTCAGCTGGCTGCACAGAGGTTGTGCTCCAATGATGTACATCTCCGGTCTCTGGATGGGGTTCATGGCTAATGACCTGAGAAAGTAAGACCAAAGCACAGACCATCAGCCAAATACAGTGTGGACAACTAACCTGCAGCATGCATGACACAAAATCATTATTTATAGTGTAAAACTTAATTAGGCTATACTCATGTGGTGTCTTTTTTTTTTTTTTTTGGAGAATGCAATAAGATATTGTAGTAGTAAATATTGTACTATTTTTACGTGAGTACGTCAAACTCAACCTACACAAAACCTGTGATTCACTGCAATAATAATGTGCCAGTTTAATTTCAAGCAAATTCATTTTTTGTGATATTAAGTTATGGATTGCACAGCTTTAATGGTGTCTGTAACTTATTATCAAATAGAAAACTGTTGGAAAAACCTGTTGTCCTCAGGACATGTTGCCTTGAATGACCTTATTTACAAACAGTTTGACCATTTGTTGCCCAAGGTAAATATTGTGACAAAGCCTTCACATTTGTTCTCAGCTAACAGTTTTCTTATGCATTGTTTCATCCTTCACAAAGACACATAACTCAATAAGATATTCTTTAGAAATATAGATATGTAACCTAGATTCGTTTGCAAATACAATCTGATCTTACCACCATGAGTTGGCGACCACCAGCAGCTGTGAGTTGCAGAAGATGAGAGTCACTGCCAAAAGTAGGTGTCCTTGGTTCATTCTCACATCCATCCTTCCTCGTCCAAGAAATGGAAACGTGAAGAGCCTCCTCTGGGGAAACATTTAGGAAATTATAGTAATCCACTTGGAGGAGCTGCTTCCTTTAGTAACTTGAATAAAAAAAGAAAGTCCAGTGCCTCTGAACCCCCTCAATTTCGCCCCAGCTCAGTTTTAAACACCAGCTGTGCGTAAAAAACACCTAGATGACCTGAGGCACTAACGGAGTCTGACATCTGTTGAGAATGTTCTTTTCAAACTCCGCTTCATAAAACGCAACGAAAGTGGATGTCGGTGCGTAATGGACATAAGCGCCACATGGATGGAAGTTAAAACGAACGATGAAAAGACATAAGTGCAACTGTGTGGTGATAGTCCAAACTCTCTCCCCCCTCCGTCTCTGCCGGTTCTCTCGATGTGAACTAACACCTCTGCGCTCCGATGGCACAACTTAACCCTCCCTCCTTCTGCTCGCACTTCAGCGCACCCCCTTCGTTTTGACGCGGACACAATGAAGAGGAGGAGGAGCGCGAGGGGAGCCGAGGAACTGGTGAGGAATTTGGGGAGGCCAAACAACACAAGAGGGCAGCAGATGAGAATCCGATTCGCGGCAGAGCTTTGATTCTCCGGCGCGCAAGAGCGCGTTTTGCACTTATGGTAAATTACGAGACAACGCACGCATTAAGAGGAGCTTGAGATTCTCGCGAAGCATTTCTATGAAAATCAAAAAGTCAAAAGTTCACAGAGGGAGATGGAATAAAAGAGTTAACGGCTTGGAAAATATCATTCTTCCATCAAAGTTCACATGCGTATAATCTCCATTCGTTTTAGCTCTATAGTTTACCGCAATAAATCCGAACAAGGGGGAAACAAAAAAATCCCAGTTTGACATGAGGAATAAAAGCCACGCATGTGATCTTTGACAGTTCAACTCCTGCTACCCTCTAAATCACTATGCACATAAAAGACGCAGTTGCATTAAACGCACTTGGGCATGAGATATCCACTCACACTTCAGCAACCAAGACTAAACCGGGATATAATGTGGGGAAAGTTTTATCAGCACACCCGTTTTAGACGAATTTACAGCTGATAACCAACATCGCAGACATAAACAGCCACATTGCACCCTATCCTTCAGAAGTCCGGTGTAAGGAATGCAAATATAATGAGTGTTTTACAGCTCCAGACTCTTGGAGAGGTTTGGGAATTGTAGAGAGCCCTGTGCCGTTCCAGCATCACCCCCACACCTCTCTTTTGAGTGCAGACATGTCAGAATTGGTGTGAGAGACGCCACTCAATTTCCGAGCAGTCTGTGCATGATAAAGCGCCTCTCCGGACCCTTTCATCTCCTCTAATCCACACGCCCAGCCATCACCTTTACGCAGACCTGGGCTCGTCTCCACGTCCCTCCCTCACCCTGGGACCCTGACGCACAGTGCGCAATAAATTCTGTTTATTTTACTTTACACTGTGCGGTGCTTATAATTACTGCATCGTTACTGTACTAATGCGGTTTCTTCCGTTTTTGTAAATACAATGTCAAAATCAACGTACCTGTATATAATAATGTAAAACACTAGGATTTATTGGACGATGATTAGAGGAAAATTGTATAAAAAAAATCAAAGAATGTCTAACAGATTGGCTTCAGGGTAATCAGATAATGCACATAAATTCATGAATTTCTTATTTTTAAGCACGACGTGGTTAGTGGTTCATTTGAGTTCACATGTATTAGTAGTAAATGGTGTTTGCTCCCCCTGTTGCACTGATTAAGTAATTACAATACACTTTAAAATAAATAAAATAAAATAAAATAAAACTATCTTTATAACATAGACCAAAATGTACAATTGTACTGTTTAAAAATAATTTCCTACACTTAAAAAAAATAAAATAAAAATAAAGGTTCCCAAAGGGGGTTTTCACAGCAATGCCATAGAAAAGCCATTTTTTGGTTCCCCAAAGAACCTTTTTTTGTGAACAGTTATTAAACGAAAACTTTTCATTCGTAAAGAACCTTTTGTGAAATGAAAAGATTCCATTGATGTTAAACGTTCTTCATGGAACCATAGATGCCAATAAAAACCTTTCATTTTAACAGTCTATGAAACCAAAGGCCAGAAATAATATATTTAACTAGTGAAAACTGTGTTGAATGTATGCATTATGTAAGCTATCACGTTAATTGTTAATCAGAAAACACAAAATAAAATTAAATAGAAATTTGACAAAATAAAATAAACAGAAGTAATTTTGAATAAAATAATCTACTTAACGTGTAAATGTAGCTATAATGATAACAAAACAAAAGCAACTATTATTATTATTATTATTATTTAATAAAAATATTAAAATCATATAATAATTTTCTAAATTCTCTAACCTATTTTTAAATGCATAAAGTTTCTGTAAGAGTCCATATCTATTGCACACTTTCCATTCACAATTCAAAGTCCTGATTCTAGTACTGCATCTAATCACATGGTGGCGCACTTTAGCAAGAAATGAACATAGACAGCAAAACTAGCAAAAACATTTTCTCACGAGGTCTATGCAATCGCAGCGCAACCCAGCGCAATGCTAGTGTAATACACGACTGATGCCTCATGATTATCAGTATGCATTAAGCTCTTTGTAGGTGCTAAGAAAAATATGCATGCTAGAAAAAGATTGATTTTTTTTTTTGCGCTGCCAGAGCTCGTGTATAAACACCACTGCCTGTAATTTTATTTGATTTTTAAAGAGTCCAGGCCTTTTGAATTAAGAGCCACTTCGATCTTCTCTAGCAGGTCACCTCTAACTGTGAGCAATAAAACCTGTAAAAGCAGCTGAGTCTTATAGATAAGTGTGCTTACATATATCACACATGCATTGCTTATACATTACTCAATCTGCCTGAAATCGGTGCTAATAACACACATTTCAATGTGACCTTAAATGGACACGTTCTCTCTCAGTTGCTCTATTTTATGCCATCTGTGTCGCTGCCAGCTATGGTTGGTAAATGATGACATCACTGGCACGCATGAATAGAATCCGAGCATCCAGTGCGTTTCAGAATCTGGATGCTGTCTTCATACAGGCTTTGCAGATTTGTACCGACTTATATTAGCAGAGCGGTTGCCATGCTGGCATATCGGTTACAGAAAGAAAATTCTGTCATCATTTACTCACACTCATGTCATCCAAACCTGTATTATTTTCTTGCTTGCATGGAACACAAAACAAGATGTTTAACAGAATGTTAGTGCTGCTCTTTTCAATATAATGAAAGTGGACCGTCAAGCTCCAATGATGACAAAATGATCATAAAACATCATTAAAGATAATTTGCGTGCTATTTTCAAAGTTTTTGAAAGTCATGTTATGCATTCTTAAAAATAAAGGTTGCAAAATTTTTTTTTTTGCAGCAGCAGCAGCAGCAGTGCCACACAATAACCATCCTAAAGAACCTTCCAGTTCTTAAAAGAAATTTTTTTTTAATGTGAAGTGCATTTTAATAATCTAAAGACAATTTTCCACTTTAAAGAACCTTTTGTAAAATGCAATGGTTCCATGGATGTTAAAAGTTCTTCTTTGAACCATAGATGCCAATAAAGAAAGGTTTATGAGGTGTATGAGGAGAAGACCAAATTTTTGAACTAATTTGACCACATTATTGACCAAAAAAAGCACAAATAAGCATTGAGAGCTCATTCTGGTTTTGTTTCTCACACAAAGCTATCGTATGACTTTGTCTGCTATTGTCTGTATTGTAAAGAACCTTTTTTTGTTCCTCACAGACACCAATAAAGAATATTTATTTTTAGGAGTGTATGAGAAGATGAATTTTTTGACCAAATTTGACCACATTATTGTGCATATTCAAACTGCACAAATAAGCTTTGAGCGTTCATTTTGGTTTTGTTCCTCTGACAAATCTATCGTATGACTTTGTCTGCTATTGTCTGTATTGTAAATAACTTTTTTCCTCTATAAAGAACCTTCCGTGGAAACCTTCTGTTTTCATGGATGTTAAAAGTTCTAAATGGAACCATTGATGTCAATAAAAAAACTTCATTTTTAAGAGTGGTCTTTTAAGAAGGCCAAATTTTTGATTAAATTGACTGCATTATTGACCAAATAAGCTTTGAGGGTCATTCCCCCCCCCTAGCCTAGTCACCATTGACTTTCATTGAAATAGCAGGGTTAACATTCCACTTAACATCTCCTATTGAGTCCCACAGAAGAAAAAAATGACACAAGCTTGAGTAACTGCTGACAGAATTTTCATTTTTGGGTGAACCATCCCTTTAAGGTTTGGTTCTGATTTTGAGCGATTATGTAAACAGCTCAGTGTCTGACACAGAACAGGAAAGAAACAGAGGCGAGAGAAGACAAGGAAAACACTGGAGCCAAGCAGACGGTGTGTGTGCAAATGTGCGAACGAGCGAAGATGAAGACAACCTGGCTAAAGCTCAGGAGAGCTCTTGAACTCTGTGATGATCCTCACAGCGAGAGAGAGAGACAGAGAGACTGAAAGAGAAAAGATGCCACCCATACCAAAGATCCCGACTAGCATAAAAACAGCCACTAATCAAAACAATCTGCCCAATGCCTCGGTCTCAGTGCACACAGAGAAAAACGAAGGCACAGGATAAAGAGCAAAAGCAGCTTTCTGGCTGTGAATTCACAGCACTTATAATAACCAAAGTGTTCACAAGTCTGTAAAACTCGCTGCTTCCCCGTTGAGTCTCACGTACTGTAAATACCCCCTCTTTCCTCACACACAATGCCATGTGGTTCGGGGTACAGTGGAAATGACGGGGAGGGGGCTCTACACGTGCTGGGGGTGGGGTAAACCGGTCCAGCTGTGTTTCCCAGGGTGCTTTGCGGCAGCCGCTGGTAGATCAATGGTGAGGCAAGCCTGACAGATCTGTGTGCTGAGGTGTCTGAGCGAGCAGCCTGCTGTATATCATTAAAACTGCAGCGTCTCTCCATAACGCTGTCTGTGACTAACCCAGATAGCAGGCAGACTCCCAAATCAAAGACATGTGGGCTGCACACAC